ACCACAGGCTTGTATTTGCACTATACTTGTATGTGTGTTTTTGTTTAATTTTGGACTTAACGCTCCAGCGATATTTAATTTACATTCAAATAGAAACCCATCAAAAACATTTTCAAATAAAATGTTGCCAAGACGAGACACTAGATACAGCGTCAACTTTACCCTTAGTACGAGTTTGAGCTCACGAAAACTATCATAGTTTTCGTAATTATAAATTATGTTACTATGTACATTTTGGTGAAAAGTAACCAAATATTCTTAAAATTTAAGAAGACGCAAACGATTTAATGATAGAATTTAAACACTGTTTATTTGTATTGAAACGAAAACAATAAAATCAGTACCCTTAAGTACGAGTGCGAGCTCACGAAAACTATCATAGTTTTCGTAATTGTAAAACTCGTACTAAGAGTACTTGTCAAAACTGCGATAAAAACAGGCCAGCTTTTGTGTAAATAAAACAAGTTTCAACGGTATATATGCACTGATTTATTTATTTATCATGATTAGCATCCTTTTTAAGATGCGTCGTCAGAATTCTGACGCGCAGAATTGTGCACGCAGCCTGAAAAGGATTGAAGCATAAGTCTGGAAGGTTTTGTGACGGTCCTGGTGCTGGATGTGTTTGCCACAATATCTTGCCAGTACCGGCGAGTCGTTCTCAAAATTTCTGACCACGAAACGCAACCGTTTTTTCTTAAACGAAAACTAGTCCTCGAAACTGTTCTCGTTCGCAACTGGTTTTGGTTGCGGCCCGGTGACGCAACGAAACGACACGAAACTGAACTAAATGAAATCTTGTGAACGTTCGTTTCGTTGCTGCGAACGAGACGACGAAACATCGAAATAAATGTTGTGTTATACGATAATCGACTTTCAATGTTTAATAATAAAGATTATATTATTGTAAAAAGATTATATTATTGTAAAATCAAAGCTTAATTATCATAGAACGAAACGGCCTCATATAATTGCGTTCTATTATAGACTGTATTTGTTTCACTATAAAGTATATATTGGCGTGCAGACAATCCGAGGACTAGTTGTTCGACGAAGACTGTTTTGATCCGAAACGTAAAACGGTTCTATCGTCGCGGAACACAAAACGGTCCTTGAAACCGGTTCGTCTTTAGAACGCCCACACCTACTTGCCAGTTTCAGCTTGTTGTTGCATTTGAATTAGCAGAATTAACTTATTATAGAGGTATATTTTTGAAAAATAAAAACAACTTAACTAACTTGGCTGGTTTTTTGCAACAAATGTGCATCCGAATCAGATTAGGTATTCTGTAAGATGCAATCTTACTTACGATCTCTTTTATATGGATTTCTAACAAATGTCAAATATGTAATACTGGCTTCTTTTACCGCCATAGCGACATTTTGCCGTGTAATGGCGCAATGCATACTAAACTAATGTTTAAAATGGCAGCTACCGAAATCGGAAGTAGAGATTTTATTTTACACAATCGTCCTACAGGTATAAACCTAGGTATATTGTTCGAAACTTTCAAGGTCACTAACATTATAGCTATTAACGGGATTGTTACAAGTTGGTCTTTAAACAGACGACGTCAGAGGGTAGATTGATATGTCTGCCAATGACATCTATCCGCAATTACTTCAGTTGCTCCGTGATCATGGCGCTTGCAACAGTGCCGAAATATCGGAGTCTCTTTAAAAAACCATGGTACATGGTAACAATCCCGTTAATAGTTATTAAATATGGTATGAACCTTTTTAAAATTTCATGGCGTATCCTCACATTATTCTATGGTCGCAAAGGACGCACGAATGTCACCCCAAAGTCTCGCAGAACTCTGTTGTCTATATTAATTTATACAATACCACGGTGTGGGACAGTAAACGTCGTCTCCCCGCAGTAACAAAGCCTAATTAATCCTCATAAATTGGTGGCGTTGCGCGCAAAATGTAAAATAACCCCCAGAAGTCGTCATTAGCTGTAGACAAAGGAATAGAAGCAAGGCACAGTGATTGGGACACAGTTGAATGCGAAGCCAGTAAGTCAACTACAAACTAGAGATGATAACTAAAATTTTTGAAGTGAAACGTCTTTTCGGATAATGGGTGTACATGGAAAAATCCTATGGACAAGATGAAACGAAATTGCGTCACGAGCGTCACACGCGACAATATGTATATATTTATATATATATATATATATATATATATGAGTGATGCGTGCGCTGCTCCATTCCCCTATGCCTTATGCACCGCCTAGTGTTAGGTTATTTAAGAAAACAAGTTTCACTTCAGATGTGTTGTCTGTGCACAGTAATTTTCTTTATTCACATAATCAAAACATCATACAGATAAATTGATTTGAAATGTGGTTGCTTTTTAGCCAACCTTCGTTATTTTATGTGCAGGAATATAATATTTTGTTGTTATATTTAAGCTTTCCCCGATCAGGTTTATTTTTTTATGATTACCGGAGCTTTGTTTATTTAATTTAAACATAAACATTTACCATGATATATATTAACTGTGTTGTCATTCATTTAAATGTTAAAACAACATTTTTATATTATACAAATAGATAATTCATTCATTTTATATTTTTAATGACTTCGGCGTATTTTACTTCATATAAATGTATAATAATATTTGAGGTACAAGATTGGGCAGAGTTGTATCGAGAAAGGAATGGGTCCTTCGATTTAAGACTGTTGTCACACTGATCGTAACGTGCACTATACAATTACCCACAAAACCGTCAACATTGTAAGATTACCGGATTAACTCGGGGTAATTACTGTGCAAAATGACTGAACATTACAATCTTTCAGCGACATTCGTAAGCCAGCGTTGACAGCTGATCAGGAGCGGAAGGTTCGATGACCTCTTGAACTTTTAACCGACTTTATAAAAAGGAAGTTCTCAATTCAGTTGTTTTATCAATCAGCTAGGCTTAAGGCGATTGATGATTCGCCCGGATAGTGAAAGGTGCTGGTTCGAGTCCCGTCTGCTGCCAGGGGGCCAATCGCCTAACGGAAATGCTATGGAAAACGCTAACGCTTACGATTTTATTTTGTTATTTCTAGCCGCCTGAGGCTTTCGAATACCTCACGCTCATTTTTCTTAATATTGTTATTACCAATGCAAAAGAAAAAAAAGAGCGCGAGGCATTTGAATACCTCAGGCGGCTATAAATAACAAAATAAAATCGTAAGCGTTAGCGTTACCCAAAGCATTTCCGTTAGGCGATTGGCCCCCTGGTCCGCGTGGCTTTACTTCATGTAGGTAGTTCTAGTAATATAAGTCCCCATCTGCTTGACATTCAATTTAATAAATATTCAAATATCTTTCAGTGGGCATTATTCTGCCATTGCCATGATCCTCTGAAAAACCTGAACGAGTGCTAGGTATGGATATCAAATCTGCTACCAATTCAAAAAAAAGTCTTTGCAAGCGCATGTTATAGAAAATCTGTATTCATTCAAACTTAACCCGTTTAAAGGATACCATAATCCGAATCATGGCACAAAGTGTTCCACCGAAGGGTCATTTGGGACAAGTTCATTATATTCCGCACGCTTTACGAGAGGGGGGTGGCTTTTTTAATATTATCGTAGTGCGGATTAAACCTGCCAGCCCTGTTATAGCGAATGAGTTTCCGAACAATTGATTTTAATAGTTTCTATCTACTGTGGGTCGGTTGGACCGTAGGATAGGCAGGGAGAGGGTTGAAAATTATTATATTATAACACTGAAATTTCTTTTGGAGTGCCGGTATAATTTTTTATTTGATAAATAATTGTGATGATGATGTGTTGTTATTTTTAGTTTGTGATATTATTAAAATGACAGATGGTGTGGTTTTCAAGTGACAGTTGCGGGGTTTCTGCATTTATTTATTTTTATAGCAGTCGAGTGAGTAACTACGGATTTGTACGTGTACGGTTTCATAAAAAGAAAAATAATTGTATTTAAGTGCTACATTTTTAGTTCTAAAGATTTTTTTTACTAGAATAAATTTATTTGGTGGACTGGACAGTGTGGTATCTTTAGATTTATAAAGTGTTGTGATTTCAATACTTATAAAAAATACCATCCAAATTTCTGAATTTACTGGTGCTTTTTCCAAACAATTCATTGTTACTAACAAACCTACTCCTCAAGACGACGAACAAAACGACAACATGTAAAACGACAATGTTTCTTTCATTAGATAGACCAGCGACTTATTCTAGGCTGGCGCGTGAAAAAATATGTCGTACAAACCTCGTCATATTAATCAAAATAAAACAAACTTAACTAAAATAACATAAGCTATTTTAGATATTTGACATTTATACAACATCTCATCGCTTTTACTTTATTTTAAGACACACTTGTCTTAATAAAGGTGATCGCATATATGTCCACCCGTACGCGCTGCACGCGCTTAAAACGCCGCATTCTTATAAAGATTGCGATATGCGACGTGTACGCTACCGAGTGCTGACGGAAGTGTGCGAGTTTTCAAATGATTGCAAACGTTTGCTTTTAAATTCTTTGCCCGCCCACGGTCCCTCATTCCTACGATCTGGGGTCCTTTAAGAGAGGCGTGGAGAAGCATTTCTGCAGGCCGGCAAGGTGAGGACGGTTGGTGTGACAGTTTATAACTGCTGTACCAGCTATCTTAGCGTTTGGACTTTGTCATCACTTAAGATCAGGTGGGGTAGAGTCATTTGCCTACCTGGCTATATAGAAAAAAAACGACGAATTCTAAATGCGTCGCGTACGGTGCGATACTTCGGACATATGTGCGATCACTTTTAAAGATATCGATTTATCATTATGAAAATTTTATTGATTGGTTATCATCGAGAAATCATTACCCAAAATGGCATAACACGTAACACGGTGTTTTCACAAAGGAACTCATCCAGTTCACAAGTTCAAGAGATGTGAGGCGTGGACGGAAATCTTGCGTGTGTAAAATATTGTTTATCTGCGCAATGGTTGTTAAAATGTTTCCATGATTTGCATTGCAGTCACAGAAAAGGCGGGGTACCAGTCGCCATATGGAGGCATGGACAATGGAATGGTGAGTGTTTTTTTTAATTGTTTTACCTTAAGGTAATGGCGCCTATGACCGACAAGATCAGTGAAAACAAGAGTATAGTGACCGATCACAAGAAAATGTCGATCATTGGTGCCACTACCTAACCGTGTCTCTCATTTGCTTTTTCATAATAATTTTATTCTATATTATCTATTATTATATTATGAATTTGTCAAAAGACTGTCCCTTGAGTTTTCGTAGTAACATTGAAATAGTTTTATCTGCGAGTAGATTATCACATAACATGCATAAAAAACCATACTTATACGACAATGACGTTATTATACACGCGAAATTAAGCACAGACCTCTTTATAATTTTGTATTATTCATTAATTATTTTTCCATTAAGTGTATTATTATTTATTAACTTTCTTGGCTTGCATTTGACTGACTGGGCATATATACTTTGGGAGAGGAAGTGCTGCGACTGTGTATGTATACTTAGAGCAATGGCACGTTGAGCCACCAATCGCAGCCGCTAGTGGCTTAGTGGCGGCTTCTAGTTGCCGTCACTTTTAGCTGGATTTCCGTTAATTTCCATCGAGAGCTTGAGGCAGGAGTCGAACGCGTTCGTGTAATGGAAATACAATTGATTTCGTTGTTGTAGAAAACGTCGTATAATTCAAAACCCTCGGAGGAGCGGCGCGGGTGGTTAGCGCGTTAGGCTGCGATCGTTGAAGTTAATCAACTTTCGCGGTGGTCGGTCATTGGATGGGTGACCAAAAAACTTCTATCAAGATTTCCTCCGTGCTTCGGAAGGCACGTTAAGCCGGTGGTCCCGGCTGCATCTGCAGTCGTTAGCACCCGCCAATCCGCACTGGGCCTGTGTGGTGGGTCATGGCCCAATCTCCTTATGCCATCCACAGAGAAGGCCTGTGCCCCAGCAGTTGGAATATTAATAGGCTGATGATGATGATTCAAAACCATCGACATACAATTCATCGCGGTACTGCGGTCGAGTTTGCGCGCGATGCGAGCGACAACACGCGGCTACAACTAACGCGCTCGGGCGATTCCCGCAGCTTATGGCTGGAACGCTTAGTTTGCGACGTGAGTGAACTTAGCAGATCACTGTCCAGCAGATCAAAATTAAATGTGAGTTCTTTTGGCATGCATGCTTTACTGAGTTCTATATATCCTGATATTTTTTAGAAATAGTTAAGGCGTGAGGTAAAACCTCGAAAAATGACAGTTAACTAAATGAAGATCATTTTGTTAATTGTCATTTTTCAAGGTAATAACGTTAGAACTTTTTCTAAACAGTATTAGGAACTATAGAACTCGGCTACATACGAAAAGATGATGCGAATGATCTGCTAAGTGCACTCACATTAGTTTGCGTCGATACTATACAAAATGTATGAAAAAACTCGTCTGCAGCTTGTTGGCGCGATTAGTGGTCGCCGCTATTAGCTTAATGTGCGGTTACGCTTATATCCCAAAAAAAAAACGACGGGTTGCACTCCGGGAGTGCCGGCAGAAGTGAAAACTTGAATATTAACGTTGTGCATTTTTGATATTTTGGAATGGTTAGGGAATAATTTTTCACGAATAGGGAAGATGCAATATTTTTATTTTTGTTTTCATTTTAAAGAATTCCATGTAGAATAAACCACAGATATATTAAAAAATTAAAACATTGTGATTTATCGGAAAAAATGCGGTTTTAAATTGACAATTTAAATTTTCGCGCGAAAACGAACCTATGGTTGCGATGATGTCACTCCTGTCTGTCACTGGTCGTAATTGTTCGTTGCTGGCTTTAAATTTTCATACTTTTGCATATTTTTTCGACTTTCGAATTTTTTTTTTAAATTTATAATGGACTATCCATCAACATCATGTGATCATAACAATACCACTAATATTCCGAAAAAAAGCTGTGTTGACTCATGTTTTGTGCCAATGTACTTCAACAAAGTTCCCAAATAAATTGTTTTTGACTGGAACTTCTGACCCAAAACTGAAAAAAAAAGTGGTTTCAAGCTGCGAAGAGAAATGACCATTATTCTGAGAAGACCACTTTGACGTAAGTCGGCGAACATACTTGTCATATGCTTAATTAATCTGCTTGTACGTAAAAACGCATTAGTAACCTACCTAATACTTACAAAACCTGTCTATAACATATTTTTAATTTTACAGTTGGAGATTGACGTCGAAAATTAGATAAAGTTTAAAATGTGTGGCACAATCTTCACATTGGCAGGACTGAACCAAGCTTTGCGTTTCATTTAAAATAACTGTAAAACGATAACCTTCTTTACGTACTTTATGCTCCGGAGAACTCGACCTTTTACTGTACATAATTCTCCATCTCTTTTAATTTGGACATAGCCGATTGCATTATCGCCGTAAGATTTGTAGAAGCCGCTGAATAAAATACGAAGTTTAACAACTACGATTTTTACATACCGTAGTAATTTAGTCCCTTTCATTTCTTCACTTAAAAACTCTGCACTTTGGACAAAAAAAGTTATAACCATGTCAACGCTAACTCTTGGTAAATTCCTGGAGTCTGCTTTGATAAACGCAACTTCCATTTTTATTAAATATAAAAAAACGCAATAAATATTCCCATAAAATAATATTTACTTTAACAACCATAACCTCAAAGAAGTTGTCATAACAGGAGTGACGTCACTAAACGCTGATTGGTGTTTTAAAATACGTTCCGTTTCAAGTATTTTTAATTCGTAATAATTGTTAAAAAACAACATTATGTAAAATAAAAACGTTGCAGTGGCATTTCTTTTATATTTTTTTAACATTTTAATCATAAAATTTTCATAAATATTATATATGCATCTTCCCTATTGCTTTAATTATCAGTATAAAAGTACTATCATGTATGTGGTAGAATACAATGTTTATTTATTGCGCTATCGTACACAAACATGACAATTTATATTACATTAAAAAAGTTTAACTCTCAGAAAAATCAACTTACATGAATCACATTTAAGCGCACCTACCGACATCTATTGTAAAAAAAAATGCATTTTCTTCGCAAAGAAGCTGCCACGTGGACGTCCTAGATAGAGACTTATTATTATAACACGATAAAATAAAATATTACTATGTTTCGTCCAATATATTGAAAGTCAACAACCTTTCCAATTTTATTGTGTGTCATGATGCGATCAGCCCACGTGTTTAACCTGACGCGAGTTTAACATTTTTTACCCATACAAAAAAAGTGTACAACGCCACTAAAGAAGTTTTCACTTCAAAAAAATGTTGCAAAACAAGATCGTGAAAATTTTTGATGGATTTATTCATGTGTGCCCTACCTTTTTTCTTTCAAAAAGTTTTTACAGCATTCCTTTCAGTCTATTTTCAGTATCTGTGCTCTTCTCTATATTATTGTAGCGGTGCACATTATGGACTTATTATATGTTTTAATAAGTCCATGGCACACAAGCACCGTATTAAAAATGTTGATATTGTAACTAGGAATAATTTTCAAGTCGACAATATATAGGTTCTTGAGTGAATGGGCTATGCTTATGTAGGGTTACCATGAAGTTTTTTTTTTATGCAAAATAGGCAATGCGTTTGACCACAATCTCACCTGATGGAAAGCGATGATGAGGCCTAGGATGGTACACGCCCGCCTAAAAGATGCCTGTTCACTCTGGCCTTGAAGATGTTCAGATTATATTGGTCCGGGAAAACAGACCTCGGCAAGGAGTTCCACTCCCTAAAAAATTTAAATAATCCAGACGAAAAACCCCGGACATATTGATTTAAACTTTCATGGTTACTAACATTATAGTAATTTATGTTAATGACGGGATTTTTGCCATGTACATTGTTTTTAGCGATGTTTCCGATATTTCGGCACTGTTGCAGTTACACTGTTAAACTCGCTAAAAACAAGGAACATGGTAACAATACCATAAAAACTGGACTTTGTAATTAAGTCGGGACATTTTAGTCACATATTACAAATTAAAATCCTTATTTCCCTTGGTCACGCACGCCATAAATGGAGCTACAGTCGGATTCTAAAAATAAAATTTTCGTACCACTTGCTCAAAAAGTGACATTCTATGCCACAAAGAGCGAACATAACAATAGTCATTTTTAATCTGTTAAAAACAGGGAAAGAAAATTGTACTGAATTTCATTCATCCTCTAGGGGGAAATTTATACTGAACTACATCTGTGTTAACACCATTGAGTTTTTATATAAAGCATTATACATCTTTTTGAAAAAGGGATCCGCAGTTATTGTGCAGTTATGATTATTAAATATAATTACGAAAATCGACGAGGCCGTATGAGCTTTTCCGACAAAAAAATATTTGTCTAGGACTTGGCTGGGTTTTTGTTTTCTTCAAATACATAAACGTTAAGTTTATTTTAATTTATTTTTATAAATAAGTTAATGTTCTAAAAATACGTTACGATGTTAAATGAAAGCGACAGTGACAGTGAATTGTCGGATTCCATCTATGCAAATGCTGCCGCAATCTCTTATCTATTAGACAAGTCCGTCCGTGCGGCCGTCCGTCTGTCTGTGGTGCTGTTTCAGCGGCCAAACCGTAAGAGATAGATAAAGAGAATGTTTAAGTTATAAGTTAAGAATAGTCTGATAAGACTACAAACCGGATTTGAGTAACGTAGCACTTCCGGTTTTCGAGAAATCACGTGATTTCTATTTTGTAATTATCACAATTTTAATTAACTATTTAAAGGTTATTTTTTTTTTAACTAAATAATTTCAAACGAAACCACACAAAATCTCCGAAGTTCTCAATTAATTAAATACATTTTTTAAATCAGGTTTTGGTGAACATTTGGTTCACTGGTTTGCTAGTTATAAATAATTTGCTTCCAACAAAATCCAAGGAAAATTATTTAAAAACTTATTAATATAAAATGTAACTCTCTCTATCAATAATTGGACCAATGTTTCGAATGTTAACTTTTACTTTTAATTGTCATCTCATATTATATTTGTGTTATTATATC